CCTGCCTGCCTTCACAGCAGGGGAGGGAGGCCTCGTCCTCTGTCTTCAGGAGGCCTTGGACCACAGACTCCCATCATGGCTTGTGATCCCTGGAACACAAGGGGGACCATCAGGGACAGAATAGGACCGTGGGGACAAAGGGGAGGGAAGCCCAGGGCCTGTCAGGGGCTGGGGTCCATCCCTCCTGTGGTGGCAGATGCCACAGGGCCTCGCCTTAGTGCTGTTGAAAGAGAACTTCTTGTCAGGGTGCTGTGACCCCTGAGTAGCCCTTGCGACAGGTGAGAAGTGAGCCCAGGACCCCTAACCCCAGGCTGTGCTTCTCAGTATGAGCACAGCCCTGTGTCCTCTGGATGCCTCCCTCCTGGGACCCTGCTGCCCTCCCCCTCTAGTCTGCTGCTCTCCTCTCAAGGCCCCCCTGCAGCCCTCTGCCCTCTTCCACATGCCTCGCTCCCCAGGCCTGGCTCTCCAACTTCCTTCCCCCCTCCCTAGGTTCCCACTCCAGCCCTCTGCCCTCCCCCTGCTCCCCCAGGCCTCTGCCGGCCTCCCCCAGCCATCTGCCCTCCTCCTCTAGCCTCCCTCCCCCACCTTCCACCCACCTGCCAACCCTTAAGGCTGCAGTACTTTCTCGGCAGCCACTGGGAGGGGGCTCTGATAGGCCAGAGTTTGGGTCCCAGGTGGGGGGACGGAAAGCAGGTTTTATCTTCTCCGAGAATCGTGGCTGGCAGGCAGGCAGTGGAAGGGGGCCTTGGGCATGGAGAGGGGTCTCAGACCTATATACAATGAACTAAGGAAGTGTATTTTACCTCAGTCTGCCGGAGTCCACCCTTGGGGTTCAAGTGAGTTAAGCACTTTTGAACTCCAGGCTCCACGATGAAAGAAAAGGCTTATGGTTTCGGTTGTTTGAACAGAGACTGTGAATGAAACAAACTGCCACCTCTCTGGCCAGGCTATGCTGCTGCCTGCTTCTCATGGGGCAGGGGTCAGGGTAATTTGGGTCTCAGTGCAGCTTGGTCCCTGCCACGGTCACTCGCCCGGCCCTCCTATGCTCCTCCTGGCCATTGAGCAAGTGACCTCAACACTGGAGCTCTCTCCACCCAGGTCATTGCATCACACCCACCATACACAAGATGTCTCCAGCCAGGAATGCAGCGTTTGAAACCAAGAACTTTTTTTTTTTTTAATCTTAGAGAAACAAGATGTGACAACACCAGAAACAAGAACATGTCTCTGACCAGCCTGTGCTGACCAGTGGAGAGTTAATCTGAATCTGTTGCTTTGCACCCTGGAACAGACTGCAAATAAAGTTCGTGGAGAACCAGTCACCCAGCAAGGGCCCCGTGGGGGAGATGAAGAGGGAGAGAGGTGGGAAAGCAGCAGCGCGGTGAGCTACCTACTCCAGGCAGGAAGGGTGACAAAGCAGGGGCAGGAACATGTTGCTGAGGGCTTGGCCCTGCCCTTCCCCCAGTCGGTCCCTTTGGGCCAACACAGCCACAGCAGAAGCCACTGGGGACGCGCACTTCTGTGTTGCTCTATATAGGGTGGAGGTCCCTGCAGTGGGGGGACTCTTAGGGCAGGGGCCCCAGAGGCCCTGACACACATATCTTCCTGTAGGGAAGTGGTTTCCTGGGCCCCAGGAAGAGCCCCTTGCACCAGGAGGGCTTGGGTACCCACCATACTCACACAGGCTCTCACACATGAATACATTTGTGCACAAACATGCACACATGCACTCACACACATATATCCTTGAGCAAACACACATTCTCAGGGGAGAGCCTTCCTCCTCCCTTGCTGGCTGGCCCAGAAAGAGGCTGGAGTAGGGGCCTCCAGTCACCCAAAGGGTGACACCAGGGTTTGAAAGGACCACGTCTGTGTATCAGACCCAAGGAGGCCCCTCTCTCCTCCCCCGTGTGGCTCTTGTTCTGCAGAGGCTGCCCCCAGAGGCCTGTGGATGGGCCAGCAGGCCGACAGGCTCCCAGAGGTAGCCCAGGGTGCACAGGGATGGGGCAGATGAGAGGGGCCGGCCAGATCAGGGGTTCCCAGGAGATTTGGCACAGGGAGGCATGCCATCAGGCCCTGGCTGCAGGAGGTCCCAGGGGCCACGTGGCAGACAACGTCCAGCAGGGTGAGGTGGGCAGAGCTCTTCATTCGGGACCGGCTCCAGGGGGCAGCTGAGGAGGACACAGGGTAGGAGGCTGGGCCACTCTCTCTGGGGCTGGCCAGACTGCTGCACTTTTCCATTCCAGAAACTGAGAACGTGGGCCCCAGGCGACCGATGCTGCAGGAGATGTGGGAAAGGCAATGGGGGGGGTGAGGTCCAGGGTCTCTCCTGGCTCCCCTCTGGTCCTCCCCTGGCCATTTTGGTTCGGCAGTCAGCAGTATGCCCGAGGCCCCCAGGACCAATCTAAGCCTGTACGGGTGGGTCTTCATCCCGTGTGATCCCAGGGAAGAAGGGCTAAACCTGGGGACAGAGAGATGGAATCAGGCCATGGGTCCCAGCCCTATCCCTCCCCAGGTTTATCACACCACCCTCCTGGTTATGTCATGTCCCCAGGAGCCACGCTGCCACCGTGACCCCCACTCTGCCACCAAGCTGAAGTGCTTGTGACACTCAACTGCTGAGGAGTCCTTGGTCAAACTCCAGGTGGGCTGAGGAGGCTTTGGGGCTGGGAACTGGCTCCCCGGGCAATCCGGAACCCATTTCATTTCCCATCTCTGCTCACCATCCTTCTGGTCATCCCTGTGATCCTCCATACCGCTCCAAGGAAAGCAAGATTCCCAGACTCCCTCCCCTAGACCCATCTCTCCCTAAGTGCCCTGTGCTCCCCGCTCCCCTCCCCACTGTTTCTGGTCTTGAAGGAGACTGGAGAGGTGGGTGGGGTCCTGCAGGCCAAGGGGCTGACTCAGCTCCACCATTTCTTGTCTGTGTGACAAGGGCAAACCCCTCCCTCCCCCCAGCCTCAGCTTCCTCCAACATTATGAGGGAATTACATCTCCCTCACAGTATTGCTAGCATATTTCAGTGCCCAGGGAACATGGCCACCCTTTCCAGGCCAGATCCTGAGCACTGAGCGCCCCCACCCCTCTAGGCTTCGGCCCATGCCGTGCCTCTACCTGGAAGGCCCTTCTCATCCTGGCCAGGCCCTTCACTCAGCTGCTGTCCGGGCAGCTCCAGGGCCAGTGGTGCTTCTGGGCAGGGATTTGACTCCATCCGGCCAGAGAAAGGGCAGGTGACCACGTACAGAAGCCAAGGCCTGAAAGAAAAAGAAAGAGACAGACACCTCAGAGTCGTCTGGCCACCCACAGAGGTCCTTATTTTCCCCAAAGTGGCTTCCTCTACAACTCCCTTCTCCATCTGCTCTGCCCACCCCAGCCTGAGAGCTGCTGTCTGTTCAGGCAGATCTCATTTTCCCAGATCCCTTCAATACAAGGTGGGCTTCTGGAGGCCATTGGTGGCTGGAGGATGGGACTCTGTGGCCCTGAAGGGACCATGGTAGGAGCCCTAAGGAGCATGGGCAGAACAGCAAGACTGTGGGGGAGAGGATAGGTAGGACCGGCTCTTTCCCATTCTTTCTTGTCTCCGAATGCAGACCTTTAGGAGTCTTTCAGATAAGGAAGTGAGGGGCACAAAGGGCAGCAGGAGAAAGCAGAGACCAGTCTCCTGGCCCCCAAAGCAGGGCAGGAGGCATCTTGCCAAAGGTTGTGTGACAGCTGCTGAGAGCACCAGGGCAGAGGGCCGAGAAGGGGACAGACCTGGGGTTTGGCCCAGAAGAGAACACCTTTTCTAGGACCACCAGAGAAGCGTGCAGGAGAAAGGTGGGTACATCTTTTCTCCTCTAGGGCCTTCCAGGGGCCACCCCCAACCCATTCCCCTTCTTTCCCCAGCGTTCGGTTGACTGCATCAGGGCCTCTGCGGAAATGGGCGCGGGCACTGGGCTGTGGGCAGGAGGGGAGGCCCCTGCCCCTCTGCTGATGAAGGGCTGACCCTTGGAGAGGCGTGGGCGGATGCCGCCCCTCACTCCATCCTGGACTCGTGACAGGGGAGGAGGGAAGAGCCTGTGGCTGCTTTTTCTTTCCCTAGCTGGGCTCTGGAGCTCTTCGGGCTGTTTTGCCCGGGTGCCTTCCGTATTTCCCTCAAACCACCAAGGCACCTGGACATCTGGACATCCTACCAAACGCCTCGCCCTCCCTATTCCAACCTGTCGCCTCCTACCTGTCTGCTCGGAGTCTGATAAGTCAAGTGACTGCAGCAAAATTTCTTCCTTAATGGGGAGGCAACAGGTTGGCCAGACCCAAGTAGGTTTCTCCAGCTCGATGGAAAGCGCCTGTTTAGCGAGTTTCTGCGCGATCCGGGGCGGCGGAGAGCGGGACCGGAGCTCGGCAGCGGTCCCCTTGCCAAGGAGGTCTGGAGTCCAGGGGCCCGGGCCGTCCCGCTTCCGTCCTCCGCCGCGGGCCGGCAGTCCCCAGTGACTCCGCTGTCCTTCATGCCGGCGTCCTGGTCGTGGGTAGGTGGGAGGGAAGAGGGAGGAAGAGCGACCCCCGGCCGCCGCCACCGACCCCGGCGCTCACTCGATGCGCACCTGCAGGCGGACGTTGAGCATCACGGAGGCCACGATGTAGAAGTAGGGGAAGTTCATGCGCAGCCGCCAGGCCAGGTCGAAGAGGGTGAGCAGCGTGCGCGTGAGCCCCTTGCAGAAGGCGCCATATGAGCCGCGGCCCGCAGCGCAGCGTGACAACCGCACCGCCAGG